GCCGGAAAATTGGCAAGATCTTCTTGACTGGAAGAGATTTCCCACAAAAAAGACTCCAACCGTTAACCTTCTAACCCTCTATCAATTTAGGGTTTGCCTTGAGCCACTTAGAAGTCCTCATTCCAACCTTTAATAGGCATGCGAATGCTACGATTTTCAATCAGGATTGACCGTATTTCTTGTCACGCCTGCCTCTTATCTGACGGGATCCCTCCTCGATACAAGTGCCTCTAATGGCAGACATGTTGGTTTACGGGCGTGTCATTTGTGCTGGCGCCAAGAAACACAAGAAACTTGTGATTCTGCTGAACAGGTTGACCTCGACGGCTCCTATTGGTCGACATGTTCTCAAACTTTATATACCTACCGGAGTTAGCAGATATTTCAGTGATCGTTCCCATTGAAAGAATGAATAGGTTTCGATACCATCATTCGTAATCGAGTATGAATATGAGTCTCCTTAGGCCATTCAAAGATGATCTAAGGATTTTTATTTGAAAATGCCACAGTGAGTAGTAGGACCAAAGGTGTGGAGACGTTGTCACTTGGTGCTCACAACACGGTTTCAAATCCTGATGTGGTTAGGGATGCAATCAAGGCTAGTACGAGGCCGCAATCCAGCCGGAATAATAAAAAAATGAAATATAAGGCTAAATGGGGTTCAGTACATCGGACTTAAACTCCTTTCACTTTGAGAAATTCCACACTTCTACATTTCTATCATATTGCTTCAAACTAACTAACTCGACTGGGGCTAGTACCAACTAACGAATTTTCTAAGGAATTCAGAAGAATATCCAGATCATGACATGATTGCTAAGTTTGAGATTCACTTATAGTCCGACCAGATAGCCTTTGGGCTGCTTAAAAAACTCAAGTTTCCAATGAAATCGACAAAATTGGTAAATACTAAATGGTAGAAGAAAGCAGTGTAAAAAATTCTCTGGCTTAGGGATAGGTGTACCAAAGTCCATCTTCAAGTGAAACTGCATCGCTTCGCCTTTCCTTGCGTTTCGTTTGAAAATGCATGCGCTTCACAGGCGAAATCTCCGTTATCTCAAAGGACTGCCAAATTTTAATGGGCATCTTCAAGTTAACCCTAAAAGCAAGTCCTATAAACATCGAACTGTCCTTTTTCCAGCATTTTAATGCAGCTAATAGCCCATGCTAATCTGGACCTGACAAAATGAAGTATAGGATAGGGGAACTTCCGTTGCCTCTTTTATTCAGACTATTCAGGAGGTACAAGATTTTGGTGATTTTGATCTTTTGACCAATCGGAGCTTTCAGCCCATCGAACTCAGAAGAAGCTGGACGATAAAAACGAACTGTCTTTATCGGCCGAAATAAGCCGTGTCGAAGCCCTGGAAATTAGCGTAGTTTCGACGAGTCTTGCATTTTAATGGGATGTATTTACCTTGTTTCGTGTAAGGCGATGAAGGACTGGTAGTAGAATTTTCCCACAATTATATGAGTTGAGCTGACGTTTCCATTGAATTTCACAAAGCCCTGCTTTCCCAAAAGTTGTTTTCATCCTAACAGAAGTGGACTGCAGTTTCGACCTTGCATCGGTCTTATCAACACCCCCAGCAAAAGTCGAACCGTGACAGTGCAGAATGGGAGCTTCACACGTTAACCACTCGGCTACACTGCCACGAGTAACCTTGAGTCACAGGGCATAAGTGAGTTTCAAGGACGGTCAGGCCTCT